CAAAATCTAGCCGTATTTCGGATAGCTCTGCGTGCTAAATTTAACTTCTTGATTGAAGTTTACAATTGAACAGTTGTCGAGTAGTAAGGTGCCATTTTAAACATGTCGTTTAATCTGCATTGCGATTTGTGTTACTTAAAGAAAGTCTTTCGCATTATTTGTTACAGGGACAGCTATATGTCTACGAATTTCTTTTTAAACGTTACTGGAGGGGTTATGTCTTAGCGGATTAAATATGATCGCATATGATCCAAATTATGACGCGAATGGCAATTCTAAAATCGAAAACACCAAACATCACATAACAGTAGACAATAATACTTTTCTGAATTATATGTTTTGGGAAATGTCACCTGATTACATCGATGTCTCCTTTTTCAACAAACATTTGTGCCTCAACAAGAATCTGTATGCACCAACGACCCGACAGACTGTTTGAGAAATCCCCAAAATGTAGACGCGTGAATTGCGGGCTGATCATTTTTGTACAGATTGAAGCAGAGCGTTATTTGCAATCACATTTGAGCTGCAGACCACAGCGAACGTAGTTTCGGTTCATATAGGTTTTGGAAGATTTTGAATGAGTATAGTTGACACAGACGTGAAAAACTCGGCGCCTCAGTGGAATTTGAACCCACGCAAAAAGGGGGAGATTCGAGTACAGCCAAAGCTCTAACCACTTCAGTTACCAGATCCCGCCGGACGGCACGAATTTAATCACATTTGGGTCAAGTTACCCGCCCAACATACCCAACTTGACTCAAATTTGATTAAACTCGCTTTGCCATGCGGGCCTCCTAGTTCAAGTGGTTAAAGTGTTGGCTGTACGAGAGACTTTACCTTTCTGCATGGGTTCAAATTCCACAGAGGCGCCGAGTGTTTCATAGTTGGATCAATATGAAGGATTCAAAATCTGCCAAAACATCCATAAATTTCATAAAACTTGTAGTCATCTGGCGGATTCTAGGTGAATTACTTAGGACATTCTTCAGTTCAGTTCAGTTTATTTGAGGGAAATATAGGTGTTAAACCTTTGAACTCCCTATTTGTTACAAGGAGGCGAACAATAAAAAAAAAATTTAAAAATTGAAACATCAAACGGCTACAGAGTTTCTTCAGATTGGCAACGTTTTGTAAGCCAGACAGATAAACGAATTGTTCCAAGAGTTAAAAACATTAACGTTACTAAATGTGCTCTACAGTAGTCTGTCTAGGGATAGTTGGTGCTATCTCAGTTTCGGAGGGAGACGAATTGAATGCCAGCACACATTTAACAGACATGGGACAATATTAAAAAACAAACGTTACTGAAATATAGGAAGTAATATAACAACATTAATAAACTGTTCGAACGAAATGCTAGACGATCTGTCAGGTGGCATTGTGACGATTGGTGGCAATCTGGTCCAAGTTGCGCTTAAAAGCCTCGACGGAGGTGGGCATGACGACACCTGCAGGCAGAGCATTCCAGGCCTCGATCACTCTGTTTGAAAAGAAGAACTTCCGAGTGTCCAGCTTGGCGCCAGTTACGCGTAGTTTAAGTGGATGACCTCGGAGGTTCGTTGTGGTCGCTAACTCAAAGAAATCAGTAGGTACGAGACAGCAGTCCTGGCCGCGCAGTATACGGAATGTTTGTATAAGGTAGCCTCTTAGCTGTCTGTAACTCAGTGGAAAGAGACCGAGATTGGACAATCGGGTTTCATAGGGTAGTGAACCCTGTCCACCTACGAGTTTGGTTGCCCGCCTCTGAACTTTCTCGAGGATGCTGAGATCTTTAGAGGTCCACGGTTTCCACGCCTGAATGGCGAACTCTAGCTGTGGCCGTACGAAAGTCCGAAAGACTTTAACGAAGCAGTCCTCATCGAAGGTAGAGAAAGGTCTCTTGACAAGATAAAGGACTGACATCGCAGACTTGGCTACCTTGGAGCAGTGAAGCGGCGGTTTTAGAGAAGCCGTTACCCACATCCCCAAGTCTTTCTGGGCGTCTACCTCCTGCAATGGTACGCCGTTTAGGTGGTAAACCCTCCGGTTCAGAGATCGGGTCCTGCAGACTCGCAGGACATTACACTTAGTCACATTAAACGGCAACAGCCAGTCCTGTGACCACTTCTCGAGTCGGGTCAGGTCTGCCTGCAAGCGCTCTTCGTCAAATTCAGTTCGGATGACGCTCCAAAGTTTAACATCATCAGCGAACATGGAGACATCACAATTCAGTTCGCTGACGCAGTCGTTGACGTATATAATGAATAGGGTAGGGCCAAAAACGGAGCCTTGTGGAACACCGCTTTCAACCGCTACCTCCGCCGACTGCCTGTCACCGACGTGGACGATTTGAGAGCGACCGATCAAGAAACATTGTATCCACCTCAGGAGATTACCCCTCAGGCCTGTTCGGCTTAATTTGTACAGGAGACGCTGATGGGGTAAACTGTCGAATGCTTTCTTAAAGTCGACGTAGACTGCGTGCACTGCATTGCTGCCATCGACTGCCCGGGTCCAGCGATCTAAACAATATAGTAGATTCGTCACGCATGATCTGCCTCTACGAAATCCGTGCTGGGCATCGCATAGCAGATTATGCTCTTCTAGGAAGTGCATTATTTCTCACTTTACTATTTTCTCCATAATTTTGCAGCAAATTGAAGTAAGGCTGATTGGTCTGTAGTTTTTTGCTAAGACCTTGCTGCCGCCTTTATAAATTGGCGTGATCCGCGCTGATTTCCAATCGGAGGGCAAGTAGCCTGCTTCGAACAAAGCTTGGAAGAGCATGGACAGCGGTTTGGATAGTTCTCCAGCAAGTTCCTTCAACAATTTGGGCGATATGTCATCCGGCCCAGGTGATTTAGACTCATTCAACTTCAACAGTTCTTTGCGAACAATAGCTTCGGCGAAAGAGGCGTGCTCAATCGTTGGCCCGTCCACTATGTCGCAGTCGGGAGGGAGAAATGCGTTTTCCTTCGTAAAGATGGACTTAAAGAACTGTGAAAGGTGCTCTGCCTTTTCTCCGTCTTCACTGAGTTCTAGGTCGTCACTAGTTTTCAATAACGGGATTGGGTCTCTGTTTCGTGTGTTTCTTCTTATGTAACATAGAACAACTTCGGATTTTCTGCGGCTCGATTTAGTAGGTCTTTCTCAAAAGTACGCCGCGTCCCGAGGATTAACCTCCTAACTAGGTTCCTCTGTGCTTTGTATGCATTTAACGACACATAGCTCCTATCCGAGAGGAATTTCCTCCATAACCTCCTCTTTTTATTCACTTCTTTTTTTAAGCTTGTGTTAGCCACGGGGGTCTGCAATTTAGTTCCTTCCGTGAAATAGGACAGTGGTCTCTGAGAAGAATGTGCAGTAACTCACTAAACCAGTCCCAATCATTGATGATGTCACCGGAAAAAGCTGATTCCCAGTTAATGGTGTGTAGTTCAGATTTCATTTGGGCAAAGTCACCGCGCCAAATGTTCCTTCGTAAGGAGCAGATCCAGACAGTTTGACTGTTGCCCTTCGCGCACCCTCGTCGGAAAGGAGACGTGCTGAGTGAGAAAGAACTTGAAGGTCATGTCCAGCAAACGTCGGTCGAAAGCATGTTCTGGACCAGATGCATAAGCTGAACTCCAGTCGATAAGAGGTGCGTTGAAGTCCCCCATGATTAAGACTTCGGACCGGATAGAGAATCTCTCCAGGTCCTCAATCAGACGGGCGTCCGCTGTGGGATCATTTCTCGGCGGTCGGTAGAAAGTCAGGGTGTCAAGGCTCGGTGGACCCGGTGCTTTTATAGTTAGCCAAATAGCCTCAGAAGTACACGAAAGTTTATCTGTTTTGTCTGAGACCATAAGCCCGTGTTTTACATACGTGAGTACGCCTCCGCCCTTACGTCCTGACCTGTCTCTTCTAAACAGCTGGTATCCTGGTATAGTTAACCCACGGTTGTCTACCTGCTGGTTCAGCCAAGTTTCTGTAAGTGAGATTATATCCGGGGATAGATGAGATAGATGGATCTTGAGCTCGTCAACTTTCGATAACAAGCTCTGCACATTTGTATATAGAAATTTCAGTTTGCGATTTGCGGCTGGCAGAGAACTAAGTTCGATGCGTCTAGGGCTTTCGCCCACTATTCCAGTTCCACGGTCATCCGGATCGGGCCCGTCCAAAGAAAAGATGATGGGCGCTGTCTGATTTGGTTGTTGTAGATAACCAAATTCCGTTCTCCTTCGTTGAGTCTGTCGAAGGTGGTGTGGTCGACAAGATAAAGATTCCCAATCAAAAGTCAGGGAAGACAGTTTGAGTTGGACAAACCCTACTGCTTGGAAAGCGTGTACACAAAGGCTGTGTGGGCAGTCGCCGCAAGCGCGCTCCAAACAAGCTGTTGTCTGTGTCCGCCCTCGAGGTGTTGTGTTAGCGCGTGTGTGCGCCCTTCGTTGTCTCCACGTCGCCAGCCAATCAGAGTGAGGACAGCGTTGATTGGCTTCGAGCACTCGCGCGGCCCAGCAGCGTGTCGACATGGAGTGTGAGGCGGAAGGACGGCAGCATGACAAAGGCGGAGGGTGAGGAGACGCGAACTGCTACAGTACCCCTCGGCTAGACCGAAGGCGGAGCGTAGCGATGCCGAAGGAACTGTTGATATCTAAAAAACATGAGTGACGAAACGGTCAGGAAAGTGAACATGGCGTCCACTACGGGTGATATATACAGGGGGCACAGGATTAGAGTGAGTATGGCTCGCGGTTACAGTGTTGCTGGTTGATGAAGTAGTAGTTGGAGTTGTGGGTTGCGGACATGGGGGCAGAGGAAGTATACAGGACGGTGGAATGGAGGGTCGGGGGGGCGGAGCAGGGGGTAAGGGACCACAGGGCTCATCCGGAGGAGTGTCCGGGACGGCAGCTTTGAGACGGTCCACGCTCACGACCTCCTCGCGAGTGCCGCGTTGGATGCGGAAGTTCTTCGTCCCACGAGAGATAACTCGGAAGGGGCCATCGTAGGGTGGTTCCAGGGGCCGGCGGACTCGATCACATCGGAGAGCATGTCGCCAAATCTTTCTCGAGGTAAGATTCGGAGACGGATGGCCTGGGCGGAACCGGAGAAAGTGTCCGCAGGAATTGCCGGAGGCGATGCAGGAGGTTGGTGGGATCCTCAACCGAACCTTGTGGGGTTGGCGAGATCATCTCACCGGGAAGTCGGACGGTGGCACCGAAGACGAGTTCAGCGGCAGAACAATCAAGGTCCGACTTGAGGGAGGAGCGAATGCCCAAGAGGACTAGGGGGAGGTGGTCTGTCCAGTTCTCCGGATCGTCTGCGGCGCGTAGGGAGGCCTTCAGCTGACGGTGAAACCGCTCGACCATCCCGTTGGCTGCCGGATGATAGGTTGTAGTGCGGATGCGAGTACAGCCTAAAAAGGAGAGTAAAGACTGGAAGAGGTGAGATTCAAATTGGGCACCACGGTCAGTCGTGATAATGGAGGGAGCACCGAAAATTGCAACCCAACGACTGAGGAAAGCCTTGACGACCGTTGGAGCTGCGACATCAGGCAGTGGAATTGCTTCCGGCCACCGGGTGAATCGATCCACACAGGTAAGGAGATAGGAGCAGCCATTGGACAGAGGCAGGGGGCCTACAATGTCCAGGTGAACGTGGCTGAACCTTGAACCAGGGCCGGGGAAGGTACCAATGGGGGCCTTGTTGTGCCGCTGGATCTTGCTCCGTTGACAGGCAATGCAAGCCCGTGTCCATGCCTTGAGATCCTTGTGCATACCAGGCCAGACGAAGCGGTCGGAAACCAGCTTGTCGGTTGCTCGACTCCCAGGGTGAGACAGATTGTGCAGGGAGGAGAAAACTTTGCGGCGGAGAGATGGAGGCACAAATGGACGATGGGAAGGGGTGGATACGTCGCATAAGATGGTGCCGTTGCCAGTTGTCAGTGGTAGTTCCTGAAGTTGGAGTCCGGAAACATCCTCATCACAGGGTGGACCGACACGGCGTTGTTCAGCGGCGATCTCAGCGAGGTCAATCCCGGGTGAAAGCTGAAGATGAGCAATGGAGGGCCTTGACAGTGCGTCAGCCACCTCATTCCGTGACCCGTCAATATGGCGGATGTCTGAAGTGAACTGCGAAATGTAGTCCAGGTGACGGATCTCCCGGGGGCTTAGCTTGTCAGAGTGGGAATGTATTGCAAACGTGAGTGGCTTATGATCAGTGAAAATTGTGAACTCTCGACCTTCGAGTAAATGCCGGAAGTGCCTTACGGCAAGATAAGCGGCGAGAAGTTCACGTCCGAATGTGCTGTAGCGGGTTTCGGCCTTGGATAGTTTCCTGGAGAAGAAAGCCAAAGGCACGGTAGAATCCGGCAGACTTTGTTGAAGAACCGCGCCAACAGCAACATTGGAAGCATCGACCATCAGAGATATGGGTGCATCAGCGTGAAAGTGAGTCAGGATGGTGGCGTCAGCCAGAAGGGCTTTTACCTGCTCAAAGGACGTAAGTGCGGCTGGTGTAAGTGCAAAGGTGCGTTTAGAACCTGAGAGGAGATTGGTCAGAGGTAGGATGGTGTCGGCACAGTTTGGGAGAAACCGGCGATAAAAGTTCACCATACCAAGAAACCTTTGCAACTGACGCTTCGAGGTAGGGGGTGGAAAGTCCCGAATGGCGGCAACCTTTGAGGGAAGAGGCCGAATGCCGTGGGAGTCGACCAGATGACCGAGAAATTCTAGGGAGGGCACACCGAGGACGCACTTTGACGGGTTG